TGGGAAGTGAACCATTCTAGCGCATCCCCGTTCAAACTTCGGCTAAAGAGCCGCATTAACAAAGCTTCATTTTTACCAACTCCCATGAGTTGGTCACAATAAGCTATCAGATGAGCCAATGGATTTCCCGTTCCTTCAATAGTGTCGAACTTCGGCACTTTAAACCCTTCAGGAAGGTCCAAGTTTGGATGGATGCACAAATCTTCGTAATTGAATCCGGCGACCTCTGGATTATAATGCAACTCCTTCACAGCTTTCAAGATTTTCTCCTTTGGATTATGTTTGGATGACTCTTCTTTAGCCCTCCACTTTTTTTCTTGTTCCTCGTACTGATCAAGTTCGGAGCAGTTGGTATAAGGCTCATTTGGGATTAAGATTTGGAAAGTAAGTCTTAGAGGCAAGAGTGGAGCGGTGGAAGGATTCTGGGTAGTTATAGGGGATTGATAATTTTGGGGGAATGTTTGAGAGTTGGTATGCTGATTTTGGAGATGGGGAAATGTTTGCGGATTGTTAACTTTTTGGCTTTGAGGTGGAGGACAAGTTTGTGGGTTGGTATTTTAAGGGGGAGGGAAGGTTTGAGAGTTGGTACTTTGAGGGTAAGGTGGCTTTTGGTAGGGAGCGGAGGCGTGATGGGGATTTGAGGCAATTAGATCAATGATGGGGGGATTTTGAACTGGGTTAGAGGGTGGGTTAATGAGATGTTTTGCACTTGAATTCAGAGGAGAAAAGTAGAGCGGAGGTCTTTCATTTCCTGGAATGTTGGCAGTGGTACCCGGATTTGACAAATCTTGCTTTTTCTGGATCTCAACCCTCAACTCAGCAACCTGTTGCATCAGTTCTGCAATCAACTCATTTTGTTCAGCGGTAGAGGGCTGGACTATAGCAATTTCGGTCAGGCCAATGTCTTCACTGTTGTTGACCATTGTGGCTTTTACTTTTAGAAGACTTCGATTAGGGAAGTAATCTTTAGGTGCTTTGGACCTTGTAAAGTAAGAGTGTTCGACCAGCTTATCAACACAGATCAGTTCTAAATACCTGACAAATGAAAAAATAACTCAAAAGGTAAACGTGATAGTGCCTGAAGATGATAAATAGTATAATATATCACACATAGGTGTAAACACACAAAAGTTGCTTCATTTAAAGATAAACTAGCCCACCGGTATAGAGAAATAACTAAATAGACAGGAATTTGTCTATTTGACTTTGGGATTAGTGGATCAAAGAAGTCGACTTTCGTGGAGCCAAAGTCGTTTTGATACTTCTGATTTTCGATTGATTATAAAACTCTAGTCTCCTTGCAAGAGTTGGGAAATATAATTTCTCAAAAATGGCGACCTAGACTTGAAATGATGTCTACATATCTCACGAGGGAGAATTCAGGTCCTACGTAGTTCGACTCTTGAGTCTCTTTCGATTTGAGACGATGAATCTTTTTTTGATATGAGCGAGTAAGATTTGAAAAAAAAATGAAATTCGAATTTTGTTGGAAAACTAAAAACTCAAAAAGTATTTGGACACACTTATGATAGTGACTTGATATTTGTGCTTGGAGGTTTCTAGAAAATATTCAAAGAGAGTATGTTAGAACATCTCCAACTAAAGCAACATAATCACACAAGCAGTTATAACACTTAAATAGTTATTGCGCGTTCTAAACAGACATTTGACCATTTTGTGCCAAGTATAGGCCTAACGATTTGAGGGATGTATACGTTATTTGAAACATTCCATTGCCCCCCAAAACCAAAATTTATACAAGTTTTACGAATAAACTGAATGGGGGTACGTAATAGGGGAAATGAGATACAAAATAATCAATCCCGCGCAGGGGTACAATCCTAAACTATGCCTCTATGGAAGGTACTTTGATATTGAACTTCTTTCCATCTCCGAATTGGATGGAATGGTAATTTAATTCGTATTCGACTCGAACAAACTATTAAACTCCCTACCCCAAGAGATAATGGTTTGTCAAACGGAGTATACATAAATATCATTGTCCATTTAGGTCGTGGGCCGTTTTGAACTGAAGATGGTCTTTCTAATGAGCCCAACATGTCTTGGGTGTAGGGTTATCTTAGGCCAATGTCATAAATTTCGAGATTGAGTTCGGCTCTACACTAGTTTGACTAGAAGTGGGCTTTTTTGTAGTGGACCGGTGATTCAAGCAGACAACTAGGGATGAGACAGTTAACGATCGTTGACTATCCAGTAGTCAACTATATTCGTCAGGATATCCCGAGAACAATTTGGTTAACGAACGATTGTGGCCCGCATAATCGTCCTTTAAGTGGAAAATAAAAATAAGTGTTATTTGACGGAATATATGTCATGCCATGAATGCTAACAACTTAAAATTGCGGAAATTTAAACAAATATGCAAATAAACAAATAAACATTAGCTAAACAACTTAATTTTAAGGTAAGAACCCAATTCAAGTCGCCAGCAGAGTCGCCATACTATTTTAAAAAGAAACAAGATTTTAAGAGTCGCCACTTACTAATTTCAAAAGATTAAAACAGTTAATCAATTGAAAAAGGCTTTGGGGTTCAAATTAGAATTTCGGGAAGGATTTGAAAGCATTCGAAATGCTCGCTAACACATGGTTATCCGGTAATTAACTATTTGGCTAATATATTCTAAAATAAAAGCAAACTTTGTTTTAAAGAAACAACAATTTAAGACTTGAGATTATTTTTTTTAAAGAAAAAGGGGGATAGAACAAGAATATTATTTAAATACTAGATATTCTAAATTCAAATAAAATATGCTTATTTGTTTTTAAAGAAATGGTTGGTTCATCTTTTGAGAATTGAATTAAGGAACCTGAAAATTAATTTAGCAAGTAAACAATTGAACAATTATGATAAATGGATAAAATAAAGAGAGAGAGGGCGTTGGGTATTGTCGCTGGAATTTGATATTGCCGTTGCTGATATGAATTGTTGTAATGGGTTAGGCTGAGTTAATAAAAGAAGTGGGCCTGAAATGGGCTCAAAATTGGTCTCAATAAAGGTTTAAGAGTTAAGTAAAAAATGGCTTGTATTGAATTTAAGACTTGGCCACACAGATTGTGATTATAGCCATTGGAAATTACAAACGTAGCCGATTTGAATTCATTTGGTAAATTCGACTAGTAATTAAATAAGATGAATTAATATAATTAAACTAACGAGCTTCTTAATCTTAATAAAATAGAATAATTAACTCAAAAATATAAACTACTATTAATTAATTAAACTGATTAACCAAATATTTAAATAAAACTAAAAAAAATTTGAGACGATTTTCGAACATTCACGAAATGTACTAATTATATAAAACACATATATTATTCAAAAAATTATAAAAATGACAACTATTTAAAATAACTTGCAAACTATTTTTGAAATTTTATATAACTAATTATTTTAAATCGTTTAAAAATTAAAAAGCTTGATGATTAATCTATATTATGGAGGCCCTAAATTGGGTATCAACAGACCAAATTATGAATTTAATCACATGAGTAGATAGCTAAGACGTTAAAGAAACCGTACGACTTTACGGAATCAAATTCGGGCGAGTAGAACTTCCAAAACTGATCTTAGCGTGAACGAGTATTTTCCGAGTGTCATGGGTTGAATGTGTGTTATGAAATTGAAACTCCTAATTTAACTCTATGTTTGCGTGCAAACCGCTAGGGCGGGATTGTTTCTGCCAGTGGCGGACCCAAGATTTTCGTTTAGGGGGTTCGAAAAATAAAAGTTTAAACGTGTAAATAAGCCAACAAAATAAAATTTTAAGGAAGTAATAGCATATAGTTTATAGGTACAAAAAGTTAGTTTCGTTACAAGATATCCGAAACTAACATGAGTGATTACAGTGAAACAAAAAGTTAGCCATTTACAATATGTCAATCTAGAACTAGGATGCTAAGTAGAGCAAAAAATGGAGCTAACTAGAACAAAAAAAAAATTAGCACTTCATAATATCTCACTCAAGGAGTAGAGTGCTAACTACAAACTCCAAAAAGAGGTCAATGGTAATACTTCTCAAGCACGTTTACAATACTATTCGACGAGGTTTCATTGCTTGAAAAGACAAAATAATATCATCCGTTGAAACATCCTTAAACAAATCCTTCTCCATGAAAGGAACCATGCAACCGCTCAAGAAGTCATCATTCATTCGACTTCGCAACTCATTCATAATAAATTTCATTCCCGAAAAAGCTCTTTCAACGGATGTAGTGGCAACTGGCAGAAGCAAAGCGAAATTCACCAAACGAAATACAAGAGGATAACATGAATGTTTTTTTGTCTGAACCAATCTTTTTGAAAGATCACAAATTCCATGTAAATCAGAGAACCTTTTATTGCTATCACGGACATCAATAATGTAGTTTGCTAGTTGATTTCAAGTGCACATATGCTAAGTTCATCAGAGTCATTAGGATATAATGTAATTAGCTAGTTGATTCTCAAGTGCACACATCACTAATGTAATTTGCTAGGTGATTCTCAAGTGCACACATGCTAAGTTCATCAAAGTCATTAGGATATAATTCAGCCATTCTCATTATTTACTGGATATCAAAACTTGAAAATGAGTCTACCGAATTCAAACAAGCAACTCCATAAAGCAATTTGGTTGTCACCTCATCAAAACGATCATTAAGTTCTTGCAATTGCCAATCAATTATTTTACAAAATATTTCAACACGATAATGATGAAAAATAGTATAATCAACAGATTTACGCCGTGATCTTCCAGAATTGACATACGGCTCATCAAAATTAGGCACCACAATATTATACTTGATACAAAATGCAGAAACCTCAACAACAAATAAATCCCATTTTTCATTTTCCCTCAACTCTTGTAGCCTTCTCTTGGCCACTTTAACAAGTAGCATGACATTTGCAATATCTTGCTCCTTTTTTTGTAAACATGTACTAAGATCATTAGTAATTCCTAAAACTTACTTTCATCAAATAGCAACATGAATGCAACCTCATAAGTTTGAGCAATTCTGATATATTCTGTTGCCCTGGATCTTTTCATCCATAGAATGTGCAGTTTCAACAATATTATCAAAAATATCCATAAATGTACCAAACTTGAGAATAAACCAATTAAAAGATTTGAAGTGAGATCCCCAAAGAGTATCGCAATCTCTAGAAATACCAACTTGTTGGTGCAAGCCTCTACCCATTTTAAGCTCACCCATATCAAAAGCTTCTTGATTTTTTTTTTGAGATTCTCGATAATCATCCATACGTTTATAAGAAGCCACCAAAACATTAAAAATATTTGAAACCAAATGAACAAGTTCTTCAACTTGAAGACATCTTTTAGAAACACCAACAAGAGTTAATTGAAGTTGATGAGCAAAACAATGTATGGAATAAGCCGATCTACTTTCTTTCTTAATCAACATCGTAAGGCCATTGATATCACCTTGCATATTACTTGCTTCATCATAACATTGTCCACGCACATAAGATAGACTCAAGGAATATTGAGAAAGTAAATTGAAAATTGCTTCTTTTAGAGATAAAGCACTAGTATTTTTAACATGAACAATGTCAAGAAGTCTCTCCATCACAAATCCTCTTCTATCAACATATTGTAAAACAACAGTCATTTGCTCCTTGCGTGAAACATCAAAAGATTTATCAACCAATAAGGAAAAATAATCACCATTTAGTTTCTTTATGATGCCCTTAATTGTTTCAATCTTGCAAGCAATTACAATATCTTTTTGAATCTTTGGACAAATCATTTGGTCATTTTGAGGAGCATTTTTCAATACAAACTTACGAATTTCATCACACTTTTGAGCATAAAATGAAGAATCTCAAGAAAATTACCTCTGTTAAGTGATAATTTAGATTCATCATGACCTCGAAATGCCAAGCCTTGTTTCACAAGAAGTCTTACTACATCAATTGAAGCTGCTAAGCGGATTCGATACACATGCTTATCTTGATTAACTTGTTTCTCAAATGAAGCATGTATGGATTGTTGTTGTCGCATTAGATCTTCACATTTTCTTTTTGACTGATTGTGAATGCTAGTATGCCCACCAACATGTGTTTGCATACTAGCCTTATTATGCCAACTTCTAAACCCCACACTCAAAAATGTTTCACATCCGCATTGGAGATTGTTATTTTGCTTGAATAAATAACAATACAAACAAAAGGCTGCATCTTCACTTATACTATACTCTTACCAATCAGGAAATTCATCAAACCATTTATGATTAAAACGTCGCATAGCTTTGTTTGTGGAAACTCTCTTAAGAGAGGTTGACTAGGTTTTTTTTGGAGATAAGCTCTTCTAATAGCGTCACGATGATTTGGATGAAATTTCAAGATTTGAGTTATTTCACTTGGATCAGCCTTTAAAGAACTTAGATCAAATTCTTGAGAAGAATGTGATGGTACTTCCAAATGATTAGCATTTTCTTCCCGGTTAGGTTGATTTTGAGCAATAGAACTTGAATTTGATACTTTAAAAAAGTACTTCTCCATTGACTATGAATCTATACAAAATAGTTAAATGCATTAAAGATAATATTTTACCAATTACATTAGATATTACCATCAAAATTCAAATGGTTCATCAATCTAGTTACGACTATCAAAGAAAGAATAGAAAAAAACAATCAAAAATATTTCACAATTTAAAGTGAAGATAGTCTATATATTCAATCAAGAAAGACAAACTTTTCAAGAAAATGGAGAGAAGAGCTTACCTTGGAGAAAAGACAAACAATCAACTCTTTTGATTTTAGCTTTGAGCCTCCACTTCAGATAATCAGAGATACTACAAGTCTACAACCTTAAAAAATAAAGACCCATTTAATTTCTTGAAAATTGAAAGAAAAGAAGAAGAGGAGAAAAGGGCTTTTACCTTTTAAGCAATAAGCATGAGTTTTGATTTTCCATTTCGAATTGAATGTGAGATTCAAGCATGAAGTATCAAGTATGAAACAATCAACAATAGAATATTATGGGAGATGATTTTAATATGTGGTTTTGAGTGTTGGCAAGAGTTAAGGAAGTGATTTAGGGATTTGAAAAGTGAAAAAATTATTAGCTTTTAGGAATGGGAGTATGGGACCCTTGAATTTTTTGGGTTATTTTAGCACGTTTTATTAAAAAAAAAAAACTAAAAAAAGGTGAAAATCGAAAGTGGAACTAAAAAAAAACTGAAAGTAAAAAATTAAAAAATAAAATGCTAACCCAGGGATTCGAACCTTGGATGTCACGCTTAATTTTAAAGGGAGCTGCCGCTGGGCTATCCCTTTCACCTTGTCTTTGAGGGGGTTCAAAATATATATATCTACATAAATCCAGAAAATTCACCTTATATATACAATGTAATTTTTTATCGAGGGGGTTCGGGTGAACACGTGGGTCCGCCCCTGATTTCCGCTAGGGCGGGGCTGCTGTGGTGGGATGTGGATCGTCATAGTGAGACAGACGCGACTTAAGTTGAAAATAAACCCCAAAACGTTATTATTCTGCAACATTCGATCTTAAGAGCGAAGAAACGACCCACATATACTTCTTGAAGGTTTTCCACCTCTTCTAGCACCAAAGGTAAGGTTTTTACTCTCTGAATCCATTTTTTGATCCGTAGAACTTAGTTTCTTGGGTAATTATCGATGGGAGAGGGTTTTGATCTGGGAATTATGGTGGGAAATGCCCTAATCTGGGTATGGGGATCAAGGGTTTGGCCTAGGGTTGATGTTATTTATTATAATCCGAGTAATTAGGTCTTGTTTATTGATCTTTGCATTATATTAATTGTTTGTAGACTAAGAACAAGTGGAAAGAATCCGAAAAGGGAAGAATCAAGTTTCTTAGGGGATTCAAGCTTTGTTCAACGTAGGTGATGGTTGTGATTTCATGTTGATGTGATGTATGTTAGTAATTATTTCATCTTAATGTATGTATGCGAATGTTGCATTATTGATCACACTAATCGTAAATGAGTATGATTGAATAATTGTATGCCATGAATCAACACTTGATTGTATGATTATGAGAATGTACATTGTTATTGTGATTGTGGCTTGTTGAATGGATCAGGTGTTACGTTTCAACACACTAACTTGGATTGGGTGCCACGTTCCAGCGCATATATGGGATCGAGTGTCACGTCTGACACACTAACTTGGATCGGGTACCACGTACCGGTACACTAATAGTTTCTGTGTGGGTTCCATGAGAGGACCATTGAATTAGGTTCCATAAGAGGACCATTGACTTGTCACATATACTTGTTATTGAGAATGTGGAATTGTACATTGCTCCGGAAATGATAACTAATATATATATATATATATATATATATATATATATTCTGTATATATATGTTTTACTTTGTTGTGACTGCTTATATACATTTCGCTTACTGGAATAGCCGCGTGATCCTACCAGTACACTGTGGTTGTGTACTAATACTACACTTGTTTGTTCTTTGTTGAGTACATGGCATCTTTAGGCGGCTATTGATAGACCCCAGCTAGGTGACTATTGAGTGTGACCGAATTCAGGGGTGAGCCAGTTCTTTCAGGCTGTCATGGATCTCTCTTGTTTAAGTTCACTCTTTTCAGACTTACACACAATTTGTTTAGGGTGTATTGTTTTCATACTTCTTATGTTGGGTTGGGGTTGTGCCCCTTTCTTAGACTTGTTGCACTTTAGATGTTTTGGTACAATGACTTTCAGGTTCTAGGGGTTGTTCTTCCGCATTAGTTTGACCATTTTATTTAAACCTTTGGAGTTTATGAGAACTCTATATAATTTATGCATTTAAACTTGCTTCTGTATCTTTAAATGCGTAGTATCTTGGTTAAAGCTGCTTAGTTGGGTTGTAGTATGGTTCTCCAACTGGAGTGTTAGTGTGGGTGCCAATCACGACGGTCTGGATCGTGACATTTACAAAAAAACAAAAAATAGGTTCTTTGAGTTTTCTTGTTTAACATTTTAGCTAGTATTTTATTTTTGGCTATTTTTAAAAGAAAAAAAAAGTAGACTCAATGGTATGTTACAACACATAATTCATCCCTATCCCTACCTAAACATATTCCATTTGGGGAGTGAATATTTCATTTTTTTCTTTCCAAGATTTTACCAAATTTGTAGGGGTGTTTTGGGGAAGGGTTGGTAAAAATTAAATGGCACACCTTACCCTCAAAACCTAGCACTATAAAGCCACAATGATGAGGGGTAAAAAGGGGGCACAATTTTCTTAGTCGCCACTTAGATCTCCAAAACCCTAGTTTCTTTTCTGGTCTTCTCCGATCTTTTTCGGCATAATAGACCTACATTTTTCGGTAATTGTTATGATTTCAGTCAATCGTCTACTAGAATTAGATTCAAATGAGATGTAAAATAAGGCATGTTTGCATTTTTTCACTTTCAGATACTCTATACGAGAGAGGGGTATATAGTAGCAATGAAAAGGATATCTCACATGGATAGCCAACCAAACCTCTATCCCCTCTGTTTTCAACACCTCTAATCTCATATAGACAACGATATACCTTCCATATAGACCAATTTTTCTCTCACTCATTTAATTTTGATCAATGAAGTCAAGGGGTATCAGCCGTATTTCTTGTCCTAATTTTGGTTGACGTGAAGCTTCAATTTCAGATCTTCTTTTCAAGTCTAGTTTAAGCTTAGCATTTTTTTACTGACGCTTGATTTATAAATCTTTGGTGGAGACTAAGTTAATTCAAAGCTTTTATTGAAGGTATATTTCTTTCCTTAATCTTTATTTTTGTATTACTGCATTCAACATTTTATTTTCATTTGCTTGGTATCACTTTGTTTCTTTTTGTTACCTCGTTACTCATTGTTTGATTCTATATTTATCGATAAGTTCTAATTTTTGTTAACTTGCATCCCCAAGGCAGTAAACCTAAGCTTTGAGATCTCAATGGGGTTGGTTTGCAAACATTAGGATGTGAATGTTAGGTGAACTTAGATAGAATTATTTTTTGTTTGAGAAAATACATAAAGTCCCTATTAAATTAGTACCTGTTTTTTAAGAAGACACCTAAACTTTGTGGGGGTCTATGACCCCCCTAAATAATTTTATATTGGTATTAATATATCATTTATGACCATCTCGCAGCGAAAGTGTAGCTCACTCTCTCAAGGAGAGTGAGAGAGATGAACTAAGGAATTTTTTATTTTTTTCTTTTTACTATACTTTTTCATTTTTATATTCCTTTTCTATTTTTCAAATTTTATTTTCTATTCGATTTTTTGTTTCGCCAATCTTCTTCGACGACGTTGCTAATTATTTTCATCGTTGTGTTTAATTTTTTTTAATAGGAAGGATGAGAAGGTAATAAAAATGATAAGAAAAAAACAAAGAGGGAGATGATTACTCTTGACCATCATTTTTCCGGTGAAAAAACATTTTTCGACGACTAAGATATGCTTTTTGGACTGCGTTGATAATGAATTTCGTCATTGGTGTTTAATTTTTAAAATTAATATGATGAAAAGATAATAAAAGTCAAAAGTAAAAATGAAGAGGACTACTAGTCACCATTTTATCCTTTGAAAAAACGTTTTTACGGTGACAAAAAATGACATTTTTCCTCCACTTCTATGGTCCACCCAAAACAGTTTTAATTGATGTGAACTTTAAATAATAAATTAGATTTCATAACAATGGCACCCATCTTGCTTAATCGTTTGCCACTTTTCCTTTTCTTTTTCTATTTGTGTTGGAGAGGATTAGGGAAAG